GCAAAAAACTTCGGCGTTAGAAGATTTTGTGATTTCGAGGATACGGTCCGTAGATGCAGCCAGCTAGTCTTCGGCGTTGTTTTGAAACGAGACTAGTACAGCTTGCACCTGTTGAAGAGGTGTGGACAAGAAAAGTTGTTTGAACAGGCCCTCGTCGAAGGTTCTTTGGCCAATAACTTCTCAACCGTGTTGCAGGTCGAGGTTGTTAAGGGGTTGTTCTAACCTTTGTCGATCAGTTAGGTCTCTGCGTTTAAGGATGGATCGTTTAAGAGTTTTGTATGGTCCCGAAACATCACTAGTAAACATATTAGGTGTTAAGTACCTGTTGAATTCGCGCGGTAGTGTCTTGACTACTGCGAGGAATTGTGCACGTGTGTCGTTCGCGCCGTGCTCATGGAAGTCAGCATCTGCTTAGCAGAACCAGGCTTCGATGTTGTCTGGCCAGAAAGAAGGTGGGGATATAGTCTTTAACTTAAATACCTTAGGTGTCTGTTCAGTCATAGTGAAATATCAAGTATGAGAATGAACGAGTGGGAAAAAATATTTATATCCAAAAATACGGGGAAAATATCACAATGTATGATAAATTAAAATAAGACAATGATATATAAAATCCCAAAAAGGAACAGACTCACAGTTTGCAATTTGGTATACCAGATCACTTCGGGTTCACCAATGAAGATGCCACAGGCATTCGGAGTTTGGCAACACTTTAACCAGTAACACCTTCTAATATGAAGCTTACCCACCAGGTGAAATCAAAAGACAGAAGCGAGGAGGTTCGAAGATATATTTGATAGGTTATCAATATATCCAGGATCGTCTGATCTAATCTGGCTAGTGATTGCAGTATATGTTGAGCACGGCGTTCCCACACGTGATCTGGTGCGGATGCATGACCGAGCGCCTTCAGCTAGATGAGTCCATTAAGACTAATGTGGTCAGCATCCAATGTCGAAAACTTACAGAGCTATTTATTTTGGGGATTTATTTACCGCCACTTGACTTATCTTCAACACTCAGAACTCTTTACATAATCTTATAAATACTAACTATCCCATTAACTTAAATGGATTTCCATACATTAGTTTTGTTTGACAAAAACAACTGAAATCCACCAGGTAAAAACCTAAATACCATGCGAGACTGTATGATGAGATAAACATCTCAGTGAAATTTCAAATTATTTGCCTGGTTAGTTGTTAGACTGAGATTTTTATTACCAAGTAAACTTCATAAAAGCTTAGAAACGCGAGAGTTTCCTCGCCAATTATATGCTTTAATGATATATTATTCTAAGTTATTTGAAATTACTTTTGCATAATCTAATCTTGATATAAGTTAACCACTGATTGAAAGTAAAATTCATACTTTTCATTCTCTTAAACTTCATTAGACTTGTAGCATGGCCTCGAGTCGCATTTGACTATGGTCACCACTACAAGAAGATTGCCTACCAGAACAGGCTAAACCTCCGAGTAAACCGGGAATTAGAAGGCGATTTAAGATTGTAGCAAGATATATTTGTTGGCGATCTCGTGGTATCGAAATAATACCGAGGAGCACAAGTGGAACTACTGAGTAAACGTAAGTTCGTGCAAGGTCACAAGCAACGGAAGAAATAATGTGCTTAGTACAGTAAAACAAACAAGTACAGTAAAACAATCACTGGTACAATGTGTTATAATAATAATTGTTTGAATTATATCAATCGTGTTCTCTTGATAAAAGCTGATCACTACAGACTGTTTCACTATAACCGACTACTTAAATAAATGTTTGATTTGATAACTTACTTTTCATATCGCCAAAGGGGTGAACACTTCTTTTTCTAGCTTTAACCCAACCACAATTATTTTAGTCCTTAAAATTAAGGTACTAAATGTTTGACTATTGTATGTTTAAAGCTAAACGAATTAGCTAACATAGAAACATCTTATTTTTGTGTATTATAAACTACACTTTCGATTATTAAAAGTCCTATGTCTTTAAAGCCTGGCTAATTATCATTTGATTTATTCACCAATCTAAATATGATTTATAAAATATTGGCACTGCGCCCGTATGAGCAGCCTAACTTCCTCATTAATCCTGTTCCTACTAACTTTACCAGTTGAGTTCAGGATACGAATACCAGATTCTAATACCTCAAAATGCCCTGGTTCGGTTGAAGCTGGGAAGAGTTAGCTCTCCATGCTCTCTAAATTCTTTTTTATTCTACTTTTAAATTAGTTTCTCTCTGTTATGTATTGAGGGTCGCCGAGTAGAGGGCAGTAAATTTCAATCGAGACGTGTGATCTTATACCTGATTGGTTCGTTCATAAATTATAGTCTTGCCGTCCTCGTTTTTAAATGTGAATCACTTGTGAATGAATGATCTATTAATCGTTCTTTCTCTTCTTACAAATGTGACACGGCTATGTCTTCAACCATATACAGTAGTTTCAAAACTATAGAAGATTTCGGGCTTAACATTAGCTTAAACTTTTATCGAAAACGATTTCGGTTAGAGATCTTGAATGACATGGCTCAAAATCGTTTGCAGTGGCGCAGGTGCATCTACTCTTTGTGTTCTGCCAAATTCTAATCTTTTGAATTCCTCATGTTCCTTTCCAATTTTATTTCACTAGATTATACTCCTTGAATAACATTTTCAAACCCTAATCTTTCCGATTACTGCTTATAATCTTACCACTTCTACCACTATGAGATTTGAATCGACAACTGCATCTGTGTTAATATGGTATGGCAACTCGAACTGATGTACGTACGTACGAAGTTCCACGTTGTTGCTGACTGACTGAACTACTTTGCACGGCTAAAAATAACTGTTCATTTACAATTTCATCATTTAAAATTATCGTTTAATTGTTTTACGAATATGATATGCATAACAACTGAGCGAAACAATTAACCACTTCTTGAGCATGTTTTGTGAGGCATTATTCTTATCAACTGACTAGATCTATGGTTTACAGTACTGAATGCCTAGTAGCTAATAAATATATAACATGTCAGTGATACGCTAGCTGTTTAGTCATAGGAAATACTGACAAACCATCAGAGTATGATGATAAAATACCGTGAAGAGGATGCCATCCAATGTGTTATAACGCTCGAGTTTCTGCGTCTACACGAATGCGACGTTAATTTACCTTTGACGAATATCTACACTAGATTCTTTCTCAGTGTTTACTCTACAGGACTTCAACACAACTCGGATCAAGAACACTTGATTAGAATGTAAATATATTTCCACACCAAAACCCGGCAACTATTACAATAATAATAAGGATAGGAAAATATATAACTCATCTAACGCCTGTCAGACTATCTACAAGTCTAACTAAGCAAACAACTAATCATTATCTTCTCACCGACACATCACAGTGTTACTTACCTTCATCCTAGTTTGAAAATCCTCGCTACAATCAATCTCTAGACGGAAATATGTAGTGCTACCTATGAAGTTACGTAAGTCAGAATACTTGGAGTGGATAAAGTTAGTCAGTTGTGAGATAGTAACTCACTGAAGACGATGGTGGATGTGTTGCTCAATTTCGTGGATTAGTTGAAGTTAGACATTAACACCAGTCGATGCCGGCCGGATCAGTAATCTAGTGGTTAAGCGATCGCGCGCGAAACTGACAGGTCCCGGGCTCGAATCCCGCAAGGCAAGGGGTCGTGCACTGTCAATTTCTACAATAGGACGAAACGGCCATCCAGTGCTTCCAGGTTTTGCATAGTGGATTAGCTTCAATTGACTCATGACCTCAATTATTGAAATTACTAAAATCTCTACAAAACCCCTTCTGATTCTAATTATGAATTAGTTGTAATCTTTTGTGCGATTGAACATATCTGGTTATAGTAATTTGTAGACTACTGTTAAATTATGGAGGTCAGAACAGTCAAATCATTACTTTTTTACTCTTCTTCCATTTATAATATTGATAAATATTCACTATCAGTTTTGACAAAATTAATCATGTTTCTGGGTAATGTATAGAACGACTTCCCTCATACTTAGGATTATTCAGCTGAATGCACTCTAAAACATCGATATTTAAAGGTAGTTTATATCATAGAAAGAACCTAGTCAGACAATTATTGGAAGCTGAAGAACATTATAACAGTATTTTTTCCTACTATGGGACTTCTCAATAGTACATATTCACAACTTTATCAGCAATCGAACGCAAGGACTTTACGGCTCACGAGTTGATCGTAGGTCACTGAATCAGTACCCATCTAAAGCCAATATATGGTGTCAACTAACTTCGTATCATCTATGCTAATAAAAATCTTATGCTTCAAAAAGCGTCACAATGCAACAGTCCTGACCTCCACTTTGCAGTGAATGAGTAACTAGTGACAAGTGGCTAGACACCTGGTTGTTAGAACCCTGAGTTTTCGATTTCTCTCCTCTTTTTTTGAACACATAAATACATTGGCACAAAGAAGCACCGAATACATACACGTTACACAAGTCACTTGATTTGTGTGTGGGAGGGGATACTACCTAGGTGTCTAAACCGAAGAAAGTGTTTTTCTTAGATCGGCCACATCCGGAGCCTTTGACCTAATGGTCTGATCCAGAAGACAGTGGAGCAACATCAGGAGATGTAGTCTGATGCTAGTCGGTGACTATCAATAGGTTCATACGCCATTTGTTCCCTCAGCATACTGGAGCCCATATACACCACTGGTTTGAAATCAGAGTTTCCCAACTCTCCTTGGTAGATCCTCCATATCCACCGACCCGGTTAAAGTGTCGGTCATTAGCTTTCCCTCCTCTCAATTTCGTAAACAACACACCTGTGGCGTGAAAAGACAACGGGTTAAGATTTCCCTATCAGTGACTGTATACTTGTGGTCATATGAGATCATTTCAAGAAAGAGAGCTAACTCTCCCCACCCTCAACCATACTATGGTATCATTAACCTGCTATATGTAAAAAAAAACAAACCCCACTAAATAAACAAAACAAAACTAGAGAGAGAGAAAAAAAAAAACACCCGTTATTTATATTCAGTGGCAAGTTAAAAATTAAACAACAAAATCATGTTATAATCGTTTGTTTGTTTGTTTGTTTTTCTTCTTATATAATACAGGTATTAGAAGGATAACAAAAAAAAATTGTCTCTTTTCATAAAGTTTTGTGAAAAACAAGATTGAATAATGAAGTAAAAGTGTGTGTGTGTGTGCATGTGCATGTGCATATGAATATGGATTGTAATTGTATTTGTATATATATATATATATATATATATATATAAAGGTGATAGAATGCAAGAACAATGGAGGAAATGTTAAACAATAGAATAGATATAAGAGATCAATGTGCGCGTATAACAACTATCATTTAAACTTTCTTTTTATTTGATCATTGAACAAACATAATTGGTAATCCATACACATGGATAACACTGACCTATTTAAGAATTACAGAATGAGATTTCAGAAAAAATGATAATGGTGACGATGATTATGATGATGATAATGATGAGGAGGACGGTGATGATGATCAGCTGCATCATTCAAGTGTATCCAAATACATTTGGTTTTGTGTACAACATCAATATTATTGATTTTGAATGTGTTAAATGAAACAATAAGAATCATTGTAATGAATAAGAGAACATAAAATAAACAAACAAACAAACAAAAAAGAGAAAAAAGAAATACAAAGTGCCTATCTATTACTGACATTTTCCAATCATATTTATACACACACACATACATACATACATAGATACATACATACAAGGAGTCGATTTATTTTAAGAGAACACATAGAAGAATTAGTCAACATTGAATGATTCAATAAAGGTAATTCATATCAACAAGTAAACATTCGAATGTAATTACGCTGAAATCCTATGAATATCATTACACAATGGTAAATGTGAACCAATATCTATGTATGTATGTATGTATGTATATATGTATGGTATATATTTGCAAGTGTTGGAATTAAAAGTATCCATGAAAGTAAATCATCAAACAATAAACTCTAACATGATAATAGAAATAATGATTATGTAAACAAATGAAATCAATCAATAATCAATCAATCGATCAATCATTTAATCAATCATTGATTTCTTTTTATAAATTGAATTCAATCGAAAGAAATGAAATGAATAAATAATTCATAATCAATTTGATACATTCTCATTTCTATATAATCATCAATAATATATGTAGATTATAAATATAATACAAGAAAGAGAAAACCAAAAGCGAGAGAAGAATATAAGAAAGAATAATTGGATATCAAAAGTAAAGGATAGAGGAAAAGGGATAGAGAGAGAGACACACACATACATACATACACACACACACACACACGTGTATCATAAGTATTATACAGTAACTGTGCATAAAACAATGACAACACACTACCAATAATAATAATAATAATAATCCTAGTTTTAACATGTACACCCATGTAAGGAATATATGATTTCATCATTCTACCTTTATTTGTCTTATATAAAGGTAAAGGGACAAAAATTAAAGAAATAAAAATCATCAAATTCAACAAATGAACACATACGCGCATGTATGACACGTACATGAATACTGGGTAACTAGGAGAGAAACAATACTTCTTTTAATTAGATCAATTTATTTTGTAACTAGGGCAGTTATGAAAATAAACAGAGAGAGAGAGAGAGGGGAGGGAGAGGGAGAAAAGAGTTGGTAATAAACTGAGCGAGGGATAATATACATACATAATTAACAAACATTATAACAATTTTACATTCTCTTCATTAATATAATCATTAACCAACATTAATAAAGAAAGTAATAATTGTAGACAAAGATATTGTGAATAGAGTACTGAGTAAAGTAAACAACAAAAAAAAAAGAAATCAATATTAGAAATTGCCTCGCTTTATACACCTCCCCCCGCAACCCTCCTCCCATTAGAAAAGTACAATGATCTGTTTTTTTTTTTTAATAGAAGAAACAAAGTAAAAAACGATGATAACAATGAAACAAGAGTAAGACTAAAATGTAAAGTCAAGAAATAAAAAAAATTAAGGTATACATAAATGAAAATAGTGTTCATGTTAAAGTATAAAATGGATAGAGATTAAGGAATGAAAACTTCTCTTTTCTTTTTCTTTTGAAAAAGAAAAAAGAAAAGTAAAGAAAAAGAAAAGAAAAAAGAAAAGAAAAGTCAAAATTGTACTTTATTATTCATATTAAACAATTATATGAATAATAATTATTCATTAAAATATCATTAAATTATATTGTATGTAATTAAATACATAAATGAGTTGTATTACAATGTAACCCATAAAGTTTATCTTATTCATGATCAATATCAGTAAAAATGTATGTATGTATATGTATATACAAAGAAGAAACTGGAAATGAACGATCAAGAGAGTGTGTGTGTGGGGGGGTGATCATGACCATGATAGAGCACACACACACACACAGAGAGAGAGAGAGAGTAACAAAACTAGGAGAATGGAAAGATACAACAATCAATTACTTCTCAATTACAAGTTTGTTTGTTTTTTTGTTTTAGAAAAAGAAAAAGAAACCAATCAAATACAATGTGTTGATAGCATTATTATTCATTATGAGACAATATTCACATATGTATATGTATATGTATAGATAGATGTTTTGCATGAAGAAAAAAAAAATGAGATCCAAAATTCATTATTCATTATTGTTATTCTAGTAGAAGTCTTGATTTCAATGGATGATTCTTCATTTCATGGATCAAGTTAAGTAATCAATAATAATTGTTCTTTGTATTTTCTCCTTTCTTTTTAAACAACTGATGATGAATAAGGCTGTGTTGAAGATGTTGTCGATGATGATGATGATGACATAGAAGATATAGGTAATGAATTATCATAAGGATCTTGTGATTGTCTAAGTATACTTCTATTTCCATTATTATTAATATTATTGTTATTATCCACCATACCAATTGTTCCTAATGATGTATCCGAAGGATGACCACCACCAGTAACCGGTGGTAATGAGTTTAATGAAAAGTTAGCATTATTACCATTATTAGTATTATGCACTTGACTGGAATACATTTCTCGGCTTGTATTTGTTGATGCTGATGATGACATTGAAGTGAACGTCATTTGATTGCCAATCGATTGGTGAGGATACCAGTTCGATCTATTATTATTGCCGTTATTATTATTATTATTGACCATCATCATTTGTTGGGATTGTTGTGGATGAGGCGGCAAGGCATGATGTTGTGAATGGGGATTCAGTGAAATATTATGTTTCATTTCTCCATTCATAGGATTTACTATTTGCGGACGTTTATGATTACTATTATTAGTGGTCGGTGGTGCGCTACTACTATTACTATTAGGATTACTAGTATGTCCTATATTTGTAGGATTTTCCATCATACTACCAACAGAACCACTAACAGATATATTATCTACAATATTATTACTATGACTACTATACATTGTAGAATTCATCGTAGAATTCGACATTACAAACTGTACTTGATTCGTAGAACTCCAATCACTATTATTACTATGATTATTATTACTACTGGAATAATCACACATGGATGATGAAGACATCATCATTTGATGATGTTGTTGTTGTTGATGATGATAATACTGTTGATGAATTTGACTTGTTTGATGATGTTGTGGTTGTTGTGTAGATGATGAGGAGTAGGATTGAGGTTTAGCACCATCGTTGACAGCTGATTGACGGAGATATTGTTGTGAGTGATGATTCACATGAACACGTTGTTGTACTGATGGTATATCAGATGAATTTGTGAACATTTGATGAGATATGATATCAGTGGACGGATCCATCTTAGTAGACATAGATGTTGATAATGTGTCATTGTTATTATTACTATTATTATTGCTACATGCTGAATAATTCATTTGAGCATCACGTAATACTGCGTGATTAATATTTCTACCCAAACGATTATCAATAGGTTGACCTAAGGTTTAAAAATATAAGGAATTTTAAAAACATTAATACCAAACATAACATTTTGTAAGAGAAAAATTGGTTGATGAAGGACTGTAAATCTCTATGGATAACGACAGATGGGACAAGCTACTACCCCCTCAGTCATAATGCACTAAGCTGACTAGCATACTACTAAGTTGGAACAAAGACGTTGGGAACAACCAATTCACAGTAGACATATCAGTTTATTAAACAAGATGACGACTGTTGAATTCGAAGATTCACATCATGAATTGACCTTGGTAAGATAAACAATGAAAACCAGGAAGCATTGAATAGCTATTTCACCCTACAATGGAGCTCACCGAAAGTTCACATCTACAGCTCCATGAACGATGGAACCCATGATCTTCATGATATAATAGAGATAATTATATGCTTAAAAGCCGTAACCTGTGAAGTTTAGATACGACGTAAAAAAAACTTTGGCAGCCTACTTGAATATCTAGACTACCTGTTCCTTCCATTCGAATATTTCAACAAGTTATCTGATTTCTTGTTTGTTTTAACAAATCATTATATCTATTAATTGCATAACCTATTCAGGTGCGTTTATGAAAAATTTACGACTTTTCACTGTACAACTTAATAAAAGAGCCCAACCAGAGACATCGTGATGACTGACAGGCAATATACAATTCGTGAACGGCTAACATCCAACTAGCAATCGCTCAATATTTACCGCCAGGATCGATTAAGTAATAAGAAAAGGAAACTTATTGAAATACTTTGTGCTAAGAACTCTGTATTATATCAAAAATATAATATTGAATAAAGCCATTAATAATAATAATAATAATAATAATAATAATAATAATAATATCAGAAAAATACCACTCCTGTCAATGGATGGTATTTGAACAATCTCGCGAATTGGAATGAAGCCCTAAACGTAAAAAATTAAATGTCAATTAAATAACCAGCACGCCTGTATTTTCTGACTTCAATCCTTGGTGAGGGTATGGACGACCAACACTACTGAGTTCTACACTTAGACGGCCCCCAAATGCCCTGGTACGGCCGAGAGTAGGGAGAGTCCGCTATCCCTCTCGAAATGCTCTCACATGGCCACGCGTACATAGCCCCTGCCAGGGAAGTCCTACTCACTGCCTTCACGTGGTGGGGGTGTTGTTTACGAAAATGAGAGGACGAAAAGTGAATGTCCGGCGCTTTAACCGGATCCCAAATCAATGGTGCACATAGGCTCCAGTATCCTGAAGGAACAAATGGTGTATGAACCAATCGTTGGTCACCGGCTACCATGGGACTGCATCTCCTCACGATGCTCCACTGCCTTGTGGATCAGACGTTCAGGTCGAAGGCTCGGGGTGTGGCCCTCTAAGAAAACCACCTGCTTCGGTTTGGGCACCCGAGCAGTATCACAGCCCTCACACAAATCAATTGAGATTCGTGTGGCGCATATGTATTTGGTGCCTCCTTGTACCAATACCTATGTGTTATAACAATAAACACTTAGACGAAACAATTGTTCAGCTCCTCCTAATTAACAATCGTTGGTTAACTATAATCAGTTTATTATGTATATATATATATATATATATATATATATATAGTTAATTTAAATCGTGTAATAAGTTCCAAAATTCCTGATCATCATAATATTTTTCTTGATGATCTTAATCTTACATGACAAAACTATCCAAAATCGATTTAAACAACAAATTCATCTTTATACTTAGTCAGTCAGTCAGCTGCAACGTAAAAACAGGCACCAGTCAGTCAGTCAGTAACAACGTGGAGCTTCGTACGTACGTACATCAGTTCGAGTTGCCATACCTAACACATTAGCACAGAGATTCAGTTATCGATTCAAATCCCATAGTGGTAGAGGTACTGAAAGTATAAGTAAAGATAGGGGACATTAAGGTTTGATGATGTTATTAAAGGAGTATAGTCCAGTGGAATAAATTGGGAAAGAAAATAAAGGACATGAAGAATTCAGAAGATTAGAGTTTGAGAGAACACAAAGAGTGGATGCACCTGCGCCATTGCAAACGATTTTGAGCCATGTCATTCAAGGTCTCTAACCATCGGTTGCTATCGTCTCGCGGTCCCCAACCAGGTAGTCTACACCTACCAACATGACTCAGTCCACTTGTCAGTAACTTTATGGATTTGTGCCATGTTTTGGTCTGGCCGCCCCTAGCTTTCTTCCAACAGGCACCGATATGCATCGATCCAAGTTGCCATACCGCATTAGCACAGTAAGATGAACACCGAATTCATAGAAGTAGTTAATTCAGTGGTGGTAATATATAGAAGAAAGATTGCATACAAGGATACAATACAGGAGGAAAGAATTAGTTGGTAGAAAGAAAGATATGAAGCGATTTTAATCTCTTAGTTCAAGGGAAGACAGAGAGTGTATACACTGACGCCATTGTGATCGATTCTGAGCCATGTCACCAAGAGTCTCTAACCATTGTTTGCGATAGTCACGCGGAAGCCAACCAAGTACTCTGCATCGACAAACATGGCTCAGATCAGAAGTTAGTGACTTCAAGCACTGATGCCACGTTTTGGTTTGGCCACCCCTAATTTTCTTCCAACCATCCCCAACACTAGTCAGCATTGAGCATCGTGGTAATCGGTGTTCAGGCATACGCAACACGTGGCCCAACGATCTCAGTCGATGAAGATTCATAACCTCATCAACTGATTTGCCATCATTCCCTAATACCCTGCGTCTAACCTCACTATTACTTACCCGGTGATCCCAGCAGATGCGAGCAATATTTCTAAGGCACCTGTGGTCAAATACTAGTAGCTTACGAATACCTATAACAGCACTCAAGAGCACTTATTCTTAGTCCTATATTCAAGATTTTCAGCTTTTAACTGATTGTAACTAATCTAAAATGAACATCATTTATGTAATGGACTTTAAACCATAACATCTGAATGGTAATTAGTAATACTAATCGACTGTTTATATAATAAAAAAAAACGGTGATCTATCTACTAAATGAAAGTTAGATACTTTAATCGCTATGTAGTCAATTTTCACTTTTAATATCAGATTATACACTTCATGTTATGCTTTCTATTACAATTAATATTTCAATGATTGAAATCAGGAGTCAATTGAAGCTAGACCACCATGGAAAACCTGGAAGTACTGGACGGCCGTTTCGTTTTAGTATCACTATCTTATATTCACTTTTTCGTTTGTACAATTTTTCTTGACTGTATTTTGTGTAAATAAGGTAAGTTAAATGGATGTATAAATAGTATATAATAACACATATTCATTGTGTATCTATGGGGAGGTGAAGTTGAATAAAACAATTAATCTTTTTCTATGTACCAAATTTTATAATACATGGAGTTCAGTTAATTATTGAAATGTCCACTTTTCATTCTTCATTTATTTTATTTGAAGACATAGATATTGGTACAAGGAGGTACCAAATACATATGCGCCACACAGATCTCATTTAATATGTGTGCGGCCTGTGATACTGCCCGAGTGCCCAAACCGAAGCAGGTGGTTTTCTTGGGGGACCACACCCCGAGCCTTCGACCTGAATGTCTGATCCACAAGGTAGTGGAGCAACGTAAGGAGATGCAGTCCTATGGTAGTCGGTGACCTACGATTGGTTCATACACCATTTGCTCCCTCAGGATACTGGAGCCCATGTGCACCGTTGGTTTGGAATCCGGTTAAAGCGCCGGACATTCACTTTTCGTCCTCTCATTTTCGTAAACAACACCCTCACCACGAGAAGGCAGTGAGTAGGACTTCCCTAACAGAGGCTATATACGCGTGGTATTTCAAGAGAGAGTGTGGACTCCCCCCGTTCTCGGTCGTACCAGGGTATTTAGGGCTCCTTCATAATCGACCTAGTTATTATTATGATTCCAAGGAAATAAATTTCATAGGGTGATAAAAATCAATTGAATTCAATAGAATTGATTATGAAAATAGATTTAACATAAAGCGTTATATTTTCAAAGGAACTTATAACAACATGAAAAACATATAAACTCACTTTGATGATTACAATTTGAAGATTTAAAAGTATTTAAACTGGTATCATTAGTTGATGATGCTGTCAATGAATTTGGACCTAATAGATTTGACTCGAAACTTGTATCACTCCATCCAAATGTTGAATTATTACTATTATTACTATGATTACTGTTATTAACATTATGCCTTCCTCCAGCAGGAAATTGACCAGTAATTTGAGAATGTTTACTTTGACCTTGAAGATTAGATGGATAAGTTTGTGGAATAACCGATTGTGAGGATGATGAATAATGATGTGGATTGGAATTATAAAATTGTCCAGGAATATTTTGATTAGTAGGATAGGATTGATGATTTGACTGAAAGGTAGGATGGCGAATAGAGTTATCTGTAACATGTGAGGTGTTATTATTATTATTATCTATATCAGATGGCATATATTGATAACTACGTACAGAATTAGACCTTTGCATTTGATTTGATCCAGATGATATACCTGAAGGTCCTTGATTGTTAGAAACTTGAGGAGAAACAGTTGGAAGATATTGAATTGTATGCGGTGTTCTAGGAGTTATTTGAATACTTGCATTACCATAACCAGCACTACCTCCGCCAACAACTGAAGATCCTAAAGGTGTACATACAACAGATGAAGTAATTACTGAACTAGATGGAATAATTCCAGGAATTTCAGATTTTGAAGGACAATCAACAATACGTTGATGATGAGAATGATGATTAACTCCATCAGTATTGTATAACAATGGATGATTGTTTGAATTATATTCATTTGATGAATTTGTCATACGAATTGTACTACTACTACTATTATTATTATTATTATTATTATTATTATTATCTGATTGTCGAACTGAACGTAAATGTTCATGTGATGATGGTGGTTGAACTGGATGTTGTGTTGTTGATGGTTGTTGTTGTGCAAAATGTATTTGCATTTGACCAGTTGATCCAGGTGCACTAACATGTTGATAATTCATTTGTTGTACATTTAATTGTGCATTAAAAAATGTATTATTCACCTAGAAATTATAAATGAATACAATCAATGTTAACTAGTAACCAAAAAAAAAACAAACTTTTTTTTGTTTTTTTTTTTAAATTAAAAATTCATTGGAAATTTTTCTTATCATTGAAAAATCACTTCATTAAAACTAATATTATTCATATAATCATTTGATTATTCTATTTAAACAACTTGAATAGAGAGAAAACTAGCACACACACATACATACATACATACATACAAAACTATCTATCTTTAAACAATCGTTAATATTAATGACAAATTCCTTTGGAATTCTTTGTTGTTTAAAGGAATATGAGAAACAAACAAACAATATATGTAGTTACTGTTACTATAAAATTGATTTTAATCGTCCGATCATCAGTTAATTTGATGTACTAAGTTGAGGGGGGGGGCGGATGGAGTAGGAGAAAGAAGTTAGAAAGGTATAGGCTTTCGAAGTAAGACATGACATTAATCTATCAAATCATTGATAGTTTAAAAAAGTAATGTTATTTCATATAGACTAACTTGGTTAAGGTTTATACAATAATCTTAATTAGTATTTGAAGATATTGGATAAAATGAATGATTGAGAGTCAGTCAAAATAATGTAGATCCATTCACTCATTATCTCCCACTGTAGATTTTGAGTTCCTGTATTCTTTTATTTATTTATTTGAACACATAAATATTGGTACAAGAGGGCACCAAATGTATATGCGTCACACAAATTTTCATTTTATTTGTGTGTGGGCTGTGATACTGCCCGGGTGCCCAAACCGAAGCAGGTGCTTTTCTTAGGGTACCACATCCCAAGCCTTTGACCTAAGGTGCTGACCCACAAGGCAGTAGAGCGTCATGGAGAGATGCAGTCCCATGACAGCCGTTGATCACCGATTGGTTCGTACGCTATTTGTTCCTTCAGGATACTGGAGCCCATGTGCACCATTGGTTTGGGATCCGGTTAGAGCGCCGGACATTCGCTTTTCGTCCTCTCATTTTCGTAGACAACAACCCCGCCACGAGAAGCCAGTGAGTAGGACTTCTTTTATAGACACTTTTAACTAAAATTATTTTAGTTCTTTAGCTGGTCATCTTTTTAACTTGTTCAGTTACTCTATCGATGCAAAATGTAACAACTTTAACCGACACATATTCGTACCAGATGCTATGTGGACAATGACTAATTTTATGAAGAAATGATGTCGTCAACTGAAGAATATTATTGAAAACAGAGAGTAGTACAGTGGCTTCACTCATCATTGAATCCTCATCTACAGTATTCTGATATTACAATAAATACAATATATCCTACGACAACTAAATCGGAATACAACATATCTATATTGACAATTTCAATCAATGTAATCACAAAAAAGAAAATCCATCAAATCATTAACTTTCTACATAACGATTAAACTTGAAATTAAGAACGCATATATATCGTCCCAATTTACAAATCGTTAGCTGGATATACCCGGGTATCCTAATGTGAAAACAGTAAGACTCAAAAATCCAATATTTATTTCAACTGTTTAAACATTAGATAGTAACTGAGACAGATAGAAAAATTCATTTCTCAATATTATAAACAAGCGACAATTATAAAAGTAAGTGTAAACTTTTGAGAATAACACTTAACATCTACTATCAGATGAGTTTTGTGAATATTATAGTAATTTCAATGGTTAAGATCATGAGTCAGTTGAAGCTAGACCACTATGGAAAACCTGGAAGCATTGGACAACCGTTTCGTCCTATTGTAGGACTCCTCCATGGCAGTGCGCATCCACGACCTCACCCTCCTGCCAGATTCGAACCCAGGACCTACTGGTTTCGCGGGCGAGCACTTAATCACTAGACCAATGAGCTGGTATCCAACGGTGTTACATGATGATATAGGCTTAAGACAACAACAACCTTTGGAGTACAGATAAATAAATAAAATAAACACACCCCTGTATATATATATAATATATATAATATATAATATATATATATATATATATATATATATATATATATATATATATATATATATATAAACAAGAAAAGTTTCATATACAAACTGATTATGTCATATACGTTAAACCCTTTAGGGATTATTATTGTTTTAATAATGATAACTTTGATAAACTGATTGGTAATCACATCATTAATATCTATACATATTGGTTGAGAAAATTTTCTAATTTTCTATTGACATTTTATTTCGTTCAAGATTTTTTTCTTTAAAGAAATAAACAATCACCTTGATGGGGATGGTGGTGGTGGGAGGGGGGAGGGTTTTTTTCTAGTTGTTGTTTAAAATCAACATATAGTTTCTGTGTGATTTAAAAATAAATCAATAAAAAATTATTCACCTTTAAAACTAATGAACTAACTAAGTAACCCAATTCATCCCAAACTTTCATTTTATTCAATTTATAGAAGAAGAAAAAAACACAACTTGTATACAATGATTGAAGTAAAAAAAACTTTAAATGATAGTAACGATTATTATTATTATTATTATTGATTTGTGTCAATAATCGATGACAGTTTTGTTCTATTTTAGAATTCTTAATACATATACAAATGGCTAGTCCAGTGCTTTCAGATTTTCCATAGTGATCTTTATTTATTTGAGTACATAAATATTGGTACAAGGGGGCACCAAATATATATACGCCATGATGGTCTAGCTTCAACTGACTCATGATCTTAACCATTGAAATATACAACATTTAACATTTTTAAAGAAGTAGAAACTTATAATTTAAAGTTTTATAACAAGCACAGAAACATTTTGAAATATGACAACGAATGAAGAAAGTTACAATCATAAAGGAATTAGCAGTCCCCCATAATAGTTCCATATGTTGCTAAGTGTCAATTTAAATTAACAGGAATGTAGCTGATACCTTGAAGCGTTGGTCGAGCTTTTATATCGTTGATATACTTCATAATTAAGGTTTTACTATTTCAGGTAGAACGGTTGAAAAGTAATAAAAAAAATGAGGGTAACAAATTCAAAATTTCAGGGCAAAGTCGCACTAGGATGTAATGTCAGTGAGATAAATGATATAACTGACATAACGCTAGGAGTTAAACCTGAATAGTAGTACAACCAGAACTACTTACAGAAATGTTGTAGATGATCGGATATATCCAGTTATCGCATGGACTCCATGGTGAACAAAACCATTATTATTAACGCAAACTTTTCAAATCCCTCAAGTATAAATATCATCCTAACCTAAGGAGAAGCAAGAGCCGACAGACCACCGGGGACAACTTTAGCAAAAAGCTGGTCAGTTCCATTTTACAATAAAAACTATTCTCAAAGTATGGTACTTACTTGAATCGAAGGAGGCTGTTGCTGAGATGGTGTTGGTAAATTAGGAACTGGAGAAGGAAGTGAAGAACCACAATTAGTGACAGTGCCCATAGGATTTTGTGGTTGTTGTTGTTGTAATGTTGGTTGAAGCTGTGGATTTGTATGAGGATAGCCTTGGGAATTAAATTTAGAATTTATTGGAATAGTTTGGGATGATAAAGAATGAGGTAAATTACAATTATTAGGAGTCATATTAGATGATAGTGATTGGTTAGGATTGCATAAATGTGATTTCGAGCCACAATTTCCAGGACTTGAGTTATGATTGCGTGCACCTTGAGATATAATATGATGTGCTCCTTGAGGTGGCGTTGGTATAACGGGACTTCCATCTAGATGAAAGGAAGGTAAAGATCCATTACGATTTGAGTGGACAGCATGACCAGGCATTGATCCAAGACTATTCCCAATGGTTGGATTATAAAACGAGGCTGAACATGATGGAATGTACGGACCTTCAGGTCCAGACATTTGAGATAATCGTGCTAAACTAGCTAAGCTAGCAGAAGTTAAATGCTGTGTGCATGGAGTACTACTAGGAGTTGTCCTCATAGTAATAGAATCTGGATTTGGTCCCATCATATCAGATGAATTAAAATATGGATGATTCATCGGTTTATTCGTATTAGCACTGTTTCCATAATTACTAATTGGACCATAATTTGTATTGCAATTCAAACCTGTACGACTTCCAAGATTTGAAATGGAACAGGATACACTTGGACTGACAGTACCACTAGGAAATGGTTCACCACTACTTTTTGGTGTACCAGAATGACGAGAATTAACTAACATCATCATTTCCATATTCCCAGATTGTTGTTCAATTGGAATTTGTCCGGAATTCGGTCCACATATTACGTCCTTAAAATAAGAATAATATGAAATCTCATTTAAATAAGGTGATCTATCAAACAAATAACTTGATCAAATTGTAGATTACTTAAAAATTAGTAATTCCAGTCATATTAAATATTGAAAAGAATCGTCATACCATTTAATTACTTAGTGTACAGTGTTTATTCACCCGAAGTTAGACCACACTTCAAGGAGTAAAGAAAGCTGCTGCTGCCGCTAATAATAATAATAATATATGGGATGTCAAACTGAAGTGTATAAAGTAGGGTTTAAACCTGAAATCCAATGATCAAGAAGTTAGGTGCTTTACCAATGAACCCGCTGACTGATTTCATAAAGCCAGTTGTTTTACATAAAATTTATTCTAAGAAATGTAAAGCACACAAACCTATCTATATCTGAGCATAATCATCCATTTTTGCAGTACGTTGAAAAACATTTACATGGGTCTATGTATTGTACTGTTTCCTTTTTACTGGATACCATTCTAAGAAGTTTGACAATATCAAGTAGTAGAGAGTATGATGGACAGAGAGATGCTTTATACCTCAACATCAGAATTTAACAACCCGATATTAATTAACTTTTACACTAATAATAAACCGGGATGAACTACTCAAATAAATCAAAGAAATGCAAAACAATCTGAAACAAATTCTATCATATCTGATTATTAACAGCATTTAGATACAGATCTCTTTTGCAAAAACTATTAATTTCTGTCATAAACTGGAAAATGATCTAAGAAACGTGTATAGAACATTGAATGAATGTTTCGTCTTAACGCGAAACTCATCAAGTGTCGTATAAATGTAACTGAATTGGAGTGCAATGAGTTTACATTTCTAACTCCAGCGATATACCGTGATAATTGCCACTTAATAGCCATATCCTGAAAATATACGCAGATAAACAACAACTATAAATATAAATGATAATGTAAACATTACAAACCAGATGAAGAAAATACCGGTTTTAAAAACATAACTAAGGCACATGGTGTATAATGCAGTTTAATTCAACGAATAAACAAAATGTATATTTATTTATTTATTTATTTATGTACAGATTAAACAACCTAGAAAAATGAAAACGAACGAAGGAAAAAAAACAACAAATTAATCAGAGAATAAATAAAAATAAACAATATCTACCACTCATACACACATAGTAGCGTAAAGTACACATACACAGACATACATCTCCAAACTAATATATACAGTAGGTCAGATTCTTTTTATAAAGTCAAGGCTAAAGAGAAAAGAACGCATGTGAATGAGTGATCCAACCATACACCAACGCACGAACACACACACATACATACATACTGTTCTTCCATCCTAACTACTATCTGATACTTCTCTCTCTCTCTCTCTTCCTATTACTGTCTCTTCATTTGTAAACAATTTTTTTTTAGAAGAAAATAGCAATAAATAAACAAATAAATAAATAAGAACAGTATAAGCAGAAATGAACAAACGAACGAAAAAAACGCCTTTTCAACCCCATAAAGAAATTTTTCAATAAAGAAAAACAAAAAAAAAACTGAAGGGCAATATGATAGAGATTGTTGTAAACGAATGAATCAACCACTAGATGGATGGATATAAGGCCATAATAATAATAATAATAATAATAATAATAATAATAATAATAATAATAATAATAATAATAATCGTGAATGGGCTAAGAAGGGAACAAAGAGGTAAACACATTAGTACTATTTACTACAGTTAATAATAATCATGGGTAAACAGTGAACACAATTAAAAGAAGTGTTAAGGATATATATATATATATATATATATATATCCAGGATGCGAACCCATGTCAATGCACGCACGCCAATATATATATATATATATATATATATATATATATATATATATATATATATATACATATATAAATATATAGGATGTGTGGATGTGATTAGGTGGTATGAAGAGTTGTAAAATAGGAATGAGATATATACATAACTATAACATCTATATATAGTAAAGATAAATTCAAATTATAATGAGTAAAATTAATTTTTTGATTCATTTAAGTTTTTAATGATTTAACCAATAACTAGGACAAATTATTAATGAACAATTCTGTCTTCCTATGCATTACCATCTATCATTTGTGAAATAACCACGGTAACAGCAATCAATAAGAATGAATCTACTATTTGGGCAAGGTGTATTGATACTAACCAGTTTCTAATACTAATATGAAATGTAGACTCGAACTTACAATATATCACTTGAAAGTGGAATTATTTAACCACTAACCCCCACCTATTTGTCGGTGTAACCAATAGTATACAACATTCAATTCATCAAAATTGATAATAACACTGATATTGTTCACTTGATAAATAAACTATAGATTAGTTTGTTACTTCGGAAAATGATTACAAGCAAGTTCATGCATCAAATCTAATAATATACAAAAGACATATATTGATAAAAACCCCTTTATATATAAGACATTAAGGAGAATACTTATATTAGAAAGAATTCAGTAATTAAATTTCAAATGAATCCAACATTTCACTTGACAATCTAGAACAAAATCTTATATAAATTCTTTTGAAAAATAACAAATTAAATGGATAGTGATATAGTTTAGTAGTTAAGTCTCAACCACTACAGTTAGAGATTCGAATCTCGCTCTAGGTATTTAGTTTTGAGCGATTGGTTCAGTCAGTCAGTCAGCTACAACGGACGACTTGGCACATATATACATCGATCCAAGTTGCCATAACTCATTAGCACAGCAAGATGAACACCGGATTCATAGAAGTAGTTAATTCAGTGGTGGTAATATATAGAAGAAAGATTGCATACAAGGATAAAATACAGGAGGAAAGAATTAGTTGGTAGAAAGAAAGATATGGAGCGATTTTAATCTCTTAGTTTAAGGGAAGACAGAGAGTGTATACACTGACGCCATTGTGATCGATTCTGAGCCATGTCACCAAGAGTCTCTAACCATTGTTTGCGATAGTCACGCGGACCCCAACCAAGTACTCTGCATCGACAAACATGGCTCAGATCAGAAGAAGCGATTGGGTAATTTTAACTTATCCTCAAAAATAACATGAGGCTGAAAGAAAAATACACGTATGTGTAACCGGTAATGAGATAATAATAATAATAAACTGAATATAATATAGGGGATTTGTTACAACATTGGTTATGCTATACTAAGATTATTTTATTATAACGAAATATATATGATATCGGATCTCAGCGGAAGAAAAAATCAGGGAAGGGCGCTGGAAGTGGATAGGACACATGTTAAGGAAAGCACCGAACTGAATCACAAGACAAGCCCTCACATGGAATCCTCAAGGTCAAAGGAAAAGAAGAAGACCAAAGAACACATCACGTCGAGAAATGGAGATAGACATGAGAAAAATGAACAAAAATTGAATAGAACTAGAAAGGAAGGCCCAGGACAGAGTGATTTGGAGAATGGTGGTCAGCGACCTATGGTCCATTGGGAGTAACAGGCTAAAATAAGTATGTAATATATGGTATCGAATAATGCGATTATTAATGTATTATTATTATTACTAAATAAAGGACAGATAAATAATGTGATGTAATCAAAATTACGTTTAACTGTCTCATCTGATATCAGACATAGAAAGTATCTATCCAATATTATTCCTATCATGAGGTTTTATTTTCTAAGTTTCATAAATAACAAACCCAGACTACAATAAAACAATAAAAAGGTGAACACAATATACTGTAATATGAATCCTTTAAGAAAAGAAAGAAAAGAAAAACAATCACGTTTCTTTAATTCACCTTTCATTGCATGTTCGTTCATGTGTATACAACATATAGACAAGACAATAGTTTATTCCCATAAATGATTATCATTATTATTCTGCCCCAGACGAGATTTTACAAATTGATTAAAATCCATGTCTATCCTAATTCTTCATCTGGATACCTTTCTGTTTCTCTTTCTTCTCTCTCTCTCTCTCTCTCTCTCTCTTATTCTCTTGATTTTAATAAGTAAACATAAGGTTCAAATATAACTAATAGTTCAGACAACAAAGGAAAGCTACTACATCTACGGTCTCAACGAATATAGTCAATAAATAGTGCAACAATGAAATATATGCATATAATCTGTATATAATAAACCAAAGATAAACAACAAGAAAATCATAACAGAAAGTAAAAAAAAATAAATAAATAAAAGAAAGAAAGATAATGATAAGTGGACACAACAAAGAATATAAGGAATTAGGATGTGTATAGGTGGATGATTGGAGGATACACTAAACTTGACCTGAGGAAATTTTTTTTTTCTCTCTCTCTCTCTCTAACAGTAGGTGGTCTTAAATGTCATAGTTCACATAGGATAAGAAAGTGTATCTCTTTATATATATAGGACTGCTTATATATATATATATAAATAATCATTCGACAACAAGGTCACAATGGATCAATACAATCAAATAAACAAACAAACAAACCTACTTAAACATTAAGAAAAGATTTAATTGAAACAAATTTTATAAGTAAAAATCTCAACAAAAGAATCATACATTTATACATTAACTGATTAAATGATCAATTTGAAAGTGATCCAAAAATAAACTACGATCACGTGAATGTTATACACATTCCAGGTTATTATTATTATTATTATTATTATCATCATCATCATCGTTGTCATCATAAAGAAAGACACTTGGAAAAAAGTACAAAACTGAATTCAATTTTATGAAATGAATTGAGTGTTATGAAAATTGGATCTTAGATTCAAATAGTTGATAATTATTTTCTCAGTGGTCTAGTTGGTTAAGCAACTGGTACGAGACTGATAGGTCCTGGGTTCGAAACCCGCGAAGCGGGGTCGTGGATGCGCACTATTGAGGAGTTTCATAATTGGATGAAACGACCGTCCAGTGCTTCCAGGTTTTCCATAGTGGTCTAGCTTCAATTGACTCATGATCTCAATTATTGAAATTATTTTCTAAATAAGAGATA